TTCTTTTCTCCTCAAGGGGGCTCAGCTCGAAGGCCAGGCTGTCTGTCAACAAGCTCCGGCGAAAGCCCAAGTCCACGATCTTTTGGCCTTTATCGTGGACGTCTAACGGAGAAAGCATCGCTCCGCCGCGGTTGTGCGGGTGAACGAGCATATCACCGGGGGTTAGCATCGTCGAGTAGGCCAATGCATGTTCCTTCAACAATGCCGTCAGCTTGTCGAGCCGCTTGTTCGGGGGGATGTCCGTATCCTCCATGATGCTCTGCATCGTCGCCTTGAGCTGTGGGTTCTCCATCTTGGCCCTCGGGAGTTACGTAGAAGTGCCACGAAAACGGAAGTGCTTGAAGCTTGGATCGCTTCAAGAAATATACAATCACCATGCAAGAAGTAACAAAAAAAACAAGAGTAACGGCCAAAGAAAGCAATGGATATCCATTGCTGCACGACATGCAAACACAGTGGCAGCACCATGCGGCAATCTATCCCCTCCTGCTTTTCACCCGTGGCCCGTAAAACAGATCTAGTCCATGCTGTTCAAATCCGTCGTTTGCCCCTGCGACAAAACTTGCAGAGCCATCCTGTTCTGCCTGACTGTGCAGGATGGCTTGTGCATCCCCAGGCCAGACTTGCACCAGCTGCAGCACCAGTGGTGGGGAGTCGTCGTCATTCGGTCGCACTGTGGTGACCCTTGACAAGGAATCCTAGTGCCTGCCGGGAGCTCAGGACGGCGATCGGGACGGCCGTGTGCTGCATGCACCTCCTCGCATCTGCTCGAGTGGTTGCCGTAGTTCTTGCGACAGTTGGAGCAGCAATGTCTCTTCGAAGGTTGGCACAATCTCTGGCAACCAAGAGTCGCACACGAATGCCATCCCTCCATGATTCGCAAGGGCAGAAGGCAAAATCGGAACACAGCTCGGGCACAAAGAACTCATACCAAAAAAAATTAACACAATCATGCATCCAGCAAACACAAAGCCCCGAGGGTCTGCATGTCATGTGTCAAGCCCGCAGGTCGGCCATGT